TTGCGCCGCTATGGACGCGGCCGAAGTGGAGTTTCTGGCCGAGAAGGAGCTGGTGACCATCATCCCCAACTTCAGCCTGGACAAGATCTACCTCATCGGGGTAAGGGGCTCCCGCCGCCGCCGCCCACGCCTCTCGGGTCTCCCCGCGCGGGGCTGTCGGCCGCCGCCTCCCCTGCCGGGTTTCGGATGAGAACAGCGCGGCCACGACCGCGGGGTTCACTTGCCGGCGGCCCCGGAGGTCGGTTTCGTGTTTTAAATAAAAGCCCAGGCGCGGTGGCTCGCGCCTGTCATCCCAGCACCTGGGGAGGCCAAGGGGGGAGGATCGCCCGAGCCCAGGGCGTCGAGGCCAGCCTGGGCCACGTAGCGAGACCTCGCCTCTGCAAGGAAGAAAGACAGCAAAGGAAACCCCCAAACGAGCCGGGTTTGGTGCACCTGGGGCCCCAGCTGCCCGGGAGGCCGAGGTGGGAGGATCAGGCGGTGGAGGCCGCGGTGATCCTGCCACTGCACCCCAGCCTGGGCGACAGAGCGAGGCCCCCACTAGAACACAATACCCAGGCTGGGCTCGGGGGCACAGCCTGTCATCCCAGCACTTTGGGAGGCCGAGGCGAGCGGATTGCCTGAGCCGGCGGGCTCGAGACCCACCCGGGCAACTTGGCGAGACCTCGGCTCTGCAACTAACCAAAAATGAGCCGGGCGTGGTAGCGCGGGCCTGTAGTTCCGGCTACTTGGAAGGCTGAGGCGGAAGGATCGCGGAGCCCAGCAGGTCAGGGCTGGGGTGGCTGTGGGCGTGTCACTGCGCTCCAGCCGGGGCCACGGGACTCCAACGCAAAAAACAAAAGGCAACAACGATAAAAACCAACAGTAAACAAACAGAAGAGGCGCCTCCATGCTGGTGTGCAGCAGAAGCTGGGAGGGCCTCTGCACTGGGCCAGCTGGCGTCCCCACCTCCGGACGCTGCTGGGCCGGAGGTTGCCGGTGGGCACGGAAGGAAGATTAGCCCGCCGGGGATTAGACTAAGGATGACCCAGGTGTCCCCAGATGGGCGTTATCTTGGCCCAGGCGGGGAAAGCCCCATGGTGGTGCCATTGGAGGCCATGGGGTTCAGCGTTGCTTGGAGGGGCCCACTGGGCCTGTAATGACACCTGGGTTTCTTTCTTTCTTTTTTTTCTTTTTTTTTGAGTCAGGGTTTCACTGCATTGCCCAGACTGGAGGGCAGTGGCACAGTCATGGCCACCACAGCCGCGACCTGCTGGGCTCAGGCGATCCTCCCACCTCGGCCTCCTGAGCAGCAGGGACTACAGGTGCGCGCCACCATGCCTGGCTGATTTGTTTTGGTAGAGACGAGGTGTCACCACGTTGTCCAGGCTGGTCTCAAACTCCTGAGCTCAAGCCTGGGCCTTCCCAGGTGCTGGGATCACAGGTGTGAGCCGCCGGATCCGGCTGGCTTCATTTTTACTGGGACTTTGGTTCATGCAGCCCTTCCGCCTGTTTGCGAGCAGTGAGGCACGGTCACACTTTGGGCCTTGGCTCTCATGGGGGTCACTTTGTCTTTCGCAGGGCGACCTGGGACCCTTCAGCCCCGGCTTGCCGGTGGAGGTGCCGCTGTGGCTGGCCGTCAACCTGAAGCAAAGACAGAGGTGCCGCCTGCTGCCCCCGGCGTGGATGGACGTGGGTAAGGCTGGCGTGGGGCTGGGCTGGAGTGGCATCCGCTCCCCGCTTGGAGGCTTGGGGCTCCTTCCTGACCTCCTCCTCCATGTCCACCGACCAGCGTATGGTCCAGAGTCGCCATCAGCAGAGTCCGCCAAGCACTGTCCTGCTCATGTGAGCTCTTGGGGCGGGTGAAGGGTTTAGCCTGCATTTTGATATTCCCTATTTCAACTTGCTTAAAAGTCAAGACTGTTGTATGAACTCGAAGAGCATTTGATTAATTGATTTTGAGTTGGAGTCTCACTTTGTCACTTTGCTAGAGTGCAGTGACAATGCTCACGGCCACCGCATGGTGCTCCTCCTGCCTCAGCCTCCCAAGTAGCTGGAACCACAGGCCTGCACCACCACGCCAGGCTAACTTATTGGTTAACTGTAGAGATGAGGTCTCACCAAGTTGCCCAGGATGGTCTCAAACCTCAGGCTTAGGCAATCCTCTCGTCTCCGCCTCCCAAAGTGCTGGGATGACAGGCGTGAGCCACCGCGCCCGGCTGAGCATTTGTTTTACATTTTATTTATTTATTTTTATTTGTCTATTGATTTATTTTGAGTTGGAATCTCACTCTGTCACCCAGACTGGAGTGCAGTGGCTGC